TCCTTTAATTGCAGCACTGTGACCCTTATTGTGGAAGAGAAGGATTGGACTTAATGGCCTTAAAGTGTATCCAGTCTTATACAAGGATTCCGTCCAATTGAAGGTTGTCAGATTTCACTTCAGAGACATGTAAATTACTCCAACTCATAAAAACAGGGGTGGGAGGGCATTAGGCATGTATCTCTCATCTGTTTGTTGGATTTCCCAAGCTCCTAAGTCCTAGTTTTAGAGAATTTCCTCTACACTTTTGTCATCTTGCCTTTTCCCCTTTCTTTCTAAGCCCTGTTTGTCTTTCTGTGACTTTGCTTAATCCTTCCTCACAAGTTCTCAAGTCCACATGCTTGAACCCTCTGCCTAGGCTGCTGGATTTGGTGGTGGGAGCGGAGGAACAAGAGGCCATTCCACAGACTGATGTCAGGGTGCGTTATACCTAAAGGCCAACAAGACCATTTCCCTTGTGAGTGATCTGCTTGCTCCTATTGGTCTATTTCCCAAAGGAGTGCCTGAGCAACCCAGCTTTGTGTTATACTACAGAAGCCTTCTAGAACGAATGTCTAGAAAGGGGGTGTAGGAGTTGGCGTGGGCAAAAAAGCCCGGCTCATCATACTCCATTCTGTATTGGCAATGAGTATTAGTTGCATTTTCAAGGGCCAAGAAATAGCACTACACACACACACACACACACACACGCACGCACGCAATCGCACGCACACGCACGCGCACACACACACACAGCCTTTGACACGTTTAAGGTGTCAAGAGTAAGAGTAAATACTGTAAAAAGTACTCTCATTCGAGTAAGGAGACTACAGTAAAATTGGCTTATGCTGTTCTCACCATACCTCTATACCACATTATCAGTGATCCAGGGAAAATAGACTTTTCTCTGTGGTAGGTGGAGGCTGGTGGTAAATAAATAGTGGAGAAACAGGTAAGCCCGGTCTTAACTTGACTCCAGCCCCACTTGCTGACACCCAAAGAAGCCAGAGGATGTGGTGCCGTCACGAGGAGCCTGAACCTCTCCATCCCTTCTGTTAATGAGGACCTGGCTGGTGAGGGGCGCTTGTTTGCATCACTGAACTTGTTCCAAGATGTCTTTGTTTGCTTACCTGCCTTTTTGTTTTCTTTTCTCTTTGTAGCCTTCACGTTTTCTGTTCACTCTCTCTTTGATCTCTTCTTCTTGCCCTATCTCTACTTTTCTGCTTACTCACTCTCCTACCCACCTGGAAAGATGAATTACATTTCATTAACCTTTCTGAAGCCTAAGGTTGACCACAGGCTTTGTTGCCCATTGAGCCACCTCTGTTAGGATCAACCGAGTGGAAGTCCCACGTTAGCTTCTAGGATCGACGTTCTCCAGGCATTCTTTGAAGGTATCTGTACTTGCCTTTTGTTTAGTATCACAGGAGTCCAACTTCAAGAATGATTAAAAAGAAACATTGAAAAATAGAATAAAGAAGAAAACTCCCTTAATTCCACCATGGTAACACAGGTATCTTTTCCCCTAATGCTTTACATTTAAGATTCACTCTCCTTTTTTAAGCTGTGGGTTTCTCTAAGCTTCTAAATGGAATTGGCTGCAGAACAACCAGGTTCTCTCTGTTTCAAAGGAGATTTAAAGTACTTGATAGAACAAGGCCAGTCTTTTTGGTTGCTGGCCAGAAGTGAACTGACCCAGTTTCTAAAACTGTCATCTGTTTGCTGAGGTGTTTTCTGTTGGTGATGTGTGTGTGTATGTGTGTGTGCATGTGCATGTGTGTGTGTGTTATTAGGAGAGGTTTATTTTATTTTGGGGCTTTGTACATATTTTAATTCTCTAGTTTCTTGAAATGAAGTCACTTCCAGCCAGGGTCTACTGCCTATGACAGCATGACTAAGAAGAATGCTTTTTCTTCTCTGAATCTGGTTTCATCATTTAAAAAACTACCACTCAGATCAATAGCAATACTAACTGAGAGTATTAATACAAAAGTGCATTGTATAGTTTTGAGACTATATAGCTGTAAGATACTCTTAACAGTATTTTTCTAAAATATTTACAACGCTGGGCATATATATTAAAGATTTTCCTTTAAAAAAAACCAAAGGCAGCCTGTAATGATTATCAACATTGTGTTTAAAATTCTCTGTTAACTCCATATCATCTTAGGCTCTGTGAGTGAGTGCAAGGAAAAAAGTCTATTCATAATTTTTATTAAGAACTCTCTGTGTGACTAATATTTCCCTCAAAGAGTTTTTATTTTGACTTTGTTGTATAACCAATATACATGAAAATGATAAGAACACTTGGGGTAGTGGGGCCACAGGGGAGAGTCCATAATTGTTTTAGTGCAAACTATATACCCAAGCTCTGAGGGAGGGGGGATTGTGGCATGATTGGAGCTGGGTGGAATTTCCTTGGGGAAATTGTGTTCAAGAATCCTTGTCTGTTTGTTATTATCTTCTTGTGCCCACCTTTCCTGTGTTGATACCAATGTGTACATTTGAATGGGACTGTGACATCAGACATCTGTGCAAGGCATTTGGACAAGTTTCCCAGTTACATTCTGGGCTGTAGTTTTTAAATGTATTGAATTAGGTATATTAAAAAGGAAACCACGTGCGTAGAGGTCTACTTTAAAACAGAAATGTGGGGTGCCTGGGTGGTTCATTTGGCTAAGTGTCCAAGACTCTTGATTTCGGCTCAGGTCATGATCTCATGCTTAGAGAGATTGAACCCCATGTTGGGCTCTGCACTGACAGTGTGGAGACTGCTTGGGGTTCTCTCCCTCTCTCTTTGCCTCTCCCCAGGTCATGCTCTTGTGAGCACTCTCTCTGTCTCTCTCGCAAAATAAATAAAAATTAAAAAGTTCTTTTTTAATAAAACAGAAGGGGCACCTGGGTGGTTTAGTCAGTTGTCCGACTTCAGCTCAGGTCTTGATCTCACGGTTTGTGGTTTGAGCCCTGCTTCAGGCTCTGTGCTGACAGCTCAGACCCTGGAGCCTGCTTCAGATTCTGTGTCTCCCTCTTTCTCCGGCCCTCCCCTGCTTGCACTCTCTCTCAAAACTAAATAAACATTAAAAAAAATAAAAATAAAACAAATGTATTAGTATCTGCTTCTGGAAACTCAAAGAGTAAAAGTTATATGCATAATTTTCTTTCAGTCATTATAAGATTGGTTAGAATTAGATACTGAATTTTCTTGACTTTGAAGCAGCAATTACCCAGACATCAGGTACATAAGGGGTGTTTAGATGTATTTAGGCTACAAAATCAGAAATCCAGGATCTCTTCATGTTGTACGTCATTGTTAAAATATGTCATTGCTATGACTGAATGTGGTATTTTCTTTGGAATCCCTGTGTCTCAAATAGTCAGGGAGTGATCTGCAATTTCCTCTCCCTATTTTCTGATTTGTAAAAGAAATTTAATAATATGTTCACAGAATATATTATTTTGTGTGGAGTAGGAGTTTATCTTTTGAAAATATAGATTACAAAGTCATTTTCTTAATAGTGAAAGATGTTCATTTAGAGAATATAGCCTTGGACTTCTCTGTGTCCTTGATTCAGCAGACATACCAGGGCCTCATGTCATTCTCCAGTAGACAAAGGCTGAGTGCTAAGAACTAAAGGTGATTATGATTAGTGGGATTATTACTACTTTTTTATTTTCCTACTGAACATTTTCTATATTGTTATTATATTATTATTAAAAATTGGGGTCACCTGGGTGGTTCAGTGGGTTGAGTTTCCGACTCTCGATTTCAGTTTAGGTCATGATCTCATGGTTTGTGAGTTTGAGCCCTGCACTTGGCTCTGTGCTTGGGATTCTGCTTGGGATTCTTTCTCTCTCCATCTCTCTCTGCCCTTCCCCTGCTCGCTCACTCTCTCTCTCTCTCAAAATAAATAAATCTAAAAAATTAAAAAATAAAAATAATATATATTTTAAAGCACTGCAGTTGCATGTAAACCTGTAATTCTCGTCTTTATAAAAAGGTTCAGATATATAAACCCTTCCTAGATGCAAACAGAAAAAGAACACAGAAATAAGGTGATTACAAGGAACCTTACAATGTTTGTTCTTCTATCACATTCACCCATAGACATCTTTTAAAGAAAAGGCTCCAAGTCTAATTAAGTGGTTGAAGATATGTCTTTCTTTACTTTTCCTTAATATTTGATAAAGTAAGAACCCTGGAGTGGCACAATAACTACTTTACTCTAAAATGTAATTCAAGTGAATCAAAAATTCTCCCTAAAGAACCAATAGCATGGATAAAAATAGGGACCCTTATTCCATTTGAGGGAATGTTAAATCATCTGGTTCATTTGGCTCATGTAAAACTGACCTCTTGGATTCCCTTATCGTAGGGCCTCTGTGGAAGGTCTTGTCTATTGAGCTCTGACTGTGGTACAACCAGTCTTCAGCAAATGTTTGTTCCTTTATTCCTTGTAGGAAGCAGGGAAGGCATTGAGGTCTGGCACAAAGTAAGTGGTGCTCACATGCTAGATCCTTTCTCCTCCCAAAAACACCCATGCCTGAGCTAGAAACTCTTAAATAACTGACCTCTCTGGATTATTAATCACTATATCCTCATTATCCAGCTCCAAGTAAGTACTGAGAAAATAGTAGTTGAATGAATATTCTTGTTCCTGTGTATCTGCAGTCACTCTGAGCATATAGTATCCAGCTTTTCCTTGGCCACTGGCATGTCCGGTCTCTATGACCTTAAGTCTTTTGATTTGACTCTGTAAACTTTTGATGTCCAGTATGGTAGCCACTAACTACATGTAGCTATTTACATTTAAATTTAATTAAAATCACATAAAATTTAGAATTCAGCCCTTAGCTTCACTAGCCATACTTTAAATGCTCAGTAGCCACATGTGGCCAGTGGTTACCCTATTGGATAGTACAGGCATGGAGCATTGCCATCATGGTAGAAAGTTCCACTGGACACAGAACTGCTCTGTGTCTTCCTGAGGACCAGCTGATGGATTTCCTCTTTGTGTTTGCAGTGCAGCTGTCTGCTTCAGGAAGTGAGGTCTACAGCAACGAGGAGAATCTTCCAAAGCTGCCTCGCACTGTGACATGTCTGAGCCCTTGCTCCAGTCCCTGCAACATGAACAAGGTAAGAGATACTTTTGGGAATCAGTCTTTGTGTCTTCTTTATGGTACCCTGATTTTTCTGGGTACATAATGTGTGAGGAGGTTGCTTCTCCTACCACAAACATTCCAGAGGTTGGAGAGTTGTGTGACCCCAGTGAGTGGTATTTATTGGCAGGGTCACATGAGGTGGTGGCCATGCTGCAGTTGTGTAGTCTTACAGATATGTCACTGTGTTTATCAGAGGCTTCTGGTTGGCTGAAATACTGGCTGTTAATGTAACTGCCTTGGTATGAATGTTGGAAGATTATGACTCTGGAGCCAGAATATCTGGATTTAAATATCAGCTCTTCCAGATGCTAGCTTTGATGACCTTGGTCAAGAGGCTTAATTTCTCTGTGCCTCAATTTCCCTATCTGTAAAATGCTGATGATAATAGTACCTACCTTGTGGGGTTTTCAGAAGGATGAAATGAGTTAATATGTGCACGATAGTAACTTAATATAGTACTTATCTACATTATAAATTTGATACATTTGATAATATTTGCTGTTGTTTTTGATGTGGGGGATACTGTTGTCCCTTAGACATTGATGCAGGAAAGTCTTAGGTGCATCTGCAACATTTCCATTTATTCCTTGTTTGACTCAGCAAGTAGCAATGGATTACCAAATGGGCACTGAGGGATGAACAATGAATGGCGCTTGGGTTTTGCCTGCAGCAGGTGACAGCTTGGGGGCAGTGTGGCTAGTGGTTTTAACGAAATATGTACCAGAAACTCTGGAAGCACAGAAGAAACATCTGACTTTGGGAAATATGGAAAGGACAGTGACATTTTGAGTCAGATCCTGAATGATAAATGGTCATTTCTTGACACAGAAGTAGGGCAGGGCATTCCAGGTGAAGGAAACAGGCTGTGTTTAGGCACAGAAGCATCTGAGAAAGTCTGGCGTGTGTAGAGAACTTGGTACAGCAGGACATCTCAACTTTAACACTGTTAACATTTGGACTGAGTAATTCTTTATAGTGAGAGGCTGTCTTCCACACTGAAGGATGTTCAATAGCTTCCCTTTTGTCCCACTTTAGTTGTGACAACCAAACAAAAAAATTATACATTGGCATTGGCCAATGTCCATCCCATGGGGGGACAAAGATATGAGCCCAGAGAAGGAGGTAAGTGTCCAATTCTGAGAGCCATTGAAGGACCTAAAACAAGGGAGAGACATTTCCAGAGGTCTATAAGAAGAGGTAAATTATCATATTAGCTATAGGTTGCGATGGAGTTGGACAGTGCTTTTAGACACTGTGGGCTTCAAAAGGTATTATGGAATCCCTAGGCTTTAGAAGGCCCATTTCATATGTTGAGATTCTTTTACTAAGAACCCCATTCCAGCAGTAATTTTTCTCATGGCCATTTGTTTAGCCTTCTCCGGATGGCTGCATAACTCTCCTGGAAGAGACCAGAAAATAATAAGCAATTGTTTTTCAGAGATTTTCATTTGGCAGAGTTAAGCCTAAGAGAAGGAAACTTTGTTTCCTCCACTCCACCATTGCCTTAAATATTTACCTTTAAGCAGTCTTTGAGAAGAGATCTCTTGGAATACTGGAAAGTAGACAGGTATTCTACCCCAAGGTCATGACTGGAGGGTGGGGAAGTGAGGGGATTCATCACTGTGGTCTTTGCAATCCTTGGCTTCTATTAGTTAGAGTTTGGTGTACTGAAATACTAAGACAACTCTTGGGAAATCTCTGATTGGCAGGCACAGCTTGCTATGATGGCCCTGCCCTGAGTTTCTCCAGAGCAACTCAAGGCCTGATGTCATGGTTTGGCTCCTGATACACAGCTGGGAACCAGACTCCTCAGACATTTCAAGTGTCTCAGTAGGTGTGTCTGTTGCTTTTGGGAAGTTATGTTCCGCCTAAGTGGCCCAATGAATGCTTTATTTTATGTTATTTTAATTTAAAGCAGTGATTAAGCATGATGTGTAACCTTCATAGGTCAGCATTTTTCTTATGGTTTTCTTGGCATAAGACAAAGAATAGATCACCCTCTGGGGAGGAAATAGATCTTCTCTGTGTAAGTAAAACCAGACAATCATCTCATCAATTAGGATATGTAAGTTAGAATGCTGGAAATATTTTTGTGGGTATGATTGATTTTCTAGGTAGATTTGTTCCTAGAAAGTTGCAGACATTTTAATTGTGCACTTTCCACTTATTTGGACATACACTGTAATAATTCTTTTTTCCTTCCCAAACCCCTGTTAGCTTATGGGACACTTTAACTGAAGAGGTGACAGGATGCAGGGTGGCACAGTAGTCTAGGGTCGGGTGTAGTTGCTGTGAAGCGATAGGGCAATTCTGATCACAGTGAGGCATTAACATCTGCCTCTCTCTGGGGTTATTTAGAGATGAGAGCTCTAAAAACAACAGGAATGGCCCCCATGGCCACTGGTCAAATGGATTGCCCCTTGGTCTGACTAATATAACCAGGCTAACCTGATAGTCAGTGAACTGCTGTCCACCAAGTACTGCCATCATTACTCATCTTGAGCTTCTGTATGTAGCAGAGTCTGGGGACACACCAGGAAGGTTACAGTTCCAGCCCTCAGACAGCTAGCACACTGGCGCATTAGTTTATACATAAGATTGATACAAAGTAGACAGTGAATACCCTCACATTTATTCACCTTTTTAATATTATAAGCAGGCTTTAATGGTTGTACATTTAGGCTTCATGTTCTAGCCTTACATGTTAAAGGAATTATGGGTACACAAGTTTTCCCAGGGCACTTATTCTCCCTGGCTCTCATGCAGTTTTGAAGATGCATCTCTCCAAGTTCTATACTCTCCATAGATCTTTTTGTAAGAGCTGACTTTCCAGTCTTTATATTGATCCAGAACTTTGTGATCAGGATTTAACTTTAAATTTTGTAACAAGTTTTTATCTTCTCTACTTTCTCAGGCATTCTCTTGTTAATATGTATAAATATAGTTTTTATAATACAAGTTTTTGCTAGTAAAAAGTACTAATGTTTTACATGTGTGTTATTTACATATTATCACGCTGTAACGAAAGGATTTTAGTGTGTTACTTAAAAAATCATAGCCAAATGGGAGGCAAGTTAGACAGGATGGGACTTTGTAGAGGCAAACTGGGCAGGATGATACATATTCAGTACATACCACTATGTTAGTTCCCAAAACCACACTAACAGGAACAGTGTTGTGCTCTTGAAAGATATCTCTTCCTAGCAGCAACCTTGGAATTACAATTTTAAACTCTTTCCCTCATGGTCGTCATTTTCACGAAGGCATATCACATGCTGTTGTCTGCCTTGAATTTGTGAGGACACCCCATCTGATTGAAAAATAATCGATTTTTCCGTTATTATACAGAATGCTGCCTCCCCCCACAGTGAAAATGAATCTTCTTGAGAACGGTTTCTTCCTTCTTATGCTCAGATAAAGCCAGATCTGATTGCTGTTCCTTTGGACAAATGCTATAGCATCAAATGAAGTAGAGTAGTATCTCTTATCTCTCTTGGTGGGTGGATGCTACTGTTTTGCTTAATATCTGCCCAGCAGAATTTTTTCTCTGAATATTTTACTGTGCCAAGTTTGAGGCAGTTTCACCTTTACACTCAGATCACTATCTCTACAGTCAACTAAAGAGTAAAACTGAAATTTAGTTTCTGCCTTCATTTAAAGTTTTTCTTTCTTGGCACCTCCTTAATATGAAGCAGTGAAATTCAGAGCTCATTACCCCTGGCTCTCTACCCCCACATGACTCTTCTGGATTAAACCTCAGCTCCCCCAACACCCCGTGACCAAGTGTGTACCGTGTACCATGCACTGTGTTTACAAAACATCAATGAACAAACAAAGGTCTTTGCCAACCAGGGCTTCTGTTCTTCCCAAGGTAAGGAGAGTCATCTTATTTCAGAAGTTTTAACATTTCAACATACACCTAACATTAAAAAGCTTTCCCATTTAAAATTCTTTCACTTGAGCGAGTTGACAGAGCAACTGGATGTGATGTAAGGAATTGGTGACTAATAAACATAGAAGATTCTCTCTTCCCTTCTCTAGGACACTCCTGGTGGTTTCACCAAATGGCCCATCTATGTTCAGTGTGTCTCCACCCTCATTTTTTGCAGGCAATGGCCAAGTCCCCTTTGTGGCAGACTTTGAAGAAATATTGCACACATCTAAAACCAGGGACATGGAAGAGAATGCAAATAAAAATTAAGAGATCTTGGAATAAGGAAGGCCTTATTAATTACTAGTGGCAGAAATTATAAAGGAAGAGAATGTATTTGACTATAGCCTCAAAATTTCTTTCCACCACGAGGCATTCTGAACTACTCTAAAGACAAAAGACATGCCAGGGCAAAATTTACAACATGTGACAGACTGTTAACTTAGCTAATCTAATAAGATTTCTTACGAATTAATAAGATAAAGATGATTACTCTCATAGAAAAGGGGTAAAGAACAGAAAGGGAACAATAAATGAAAACATATAATCAATAAATAACATAAGTAAGAAAACGCTCAACCTCAACAGTTATCAAAGAAATGCAAAGTACAGCAGTTAAGTGGCATTTCCTATCTATACAATTAAAGAGGATTTGTAAAATGTACTCAGTGAAAGTAGGAATGAGACTCTCAGGCTCTCAGACACAGAGAAAGAACACATTTCTCCAGGGAAGTTAAACAATGTGTATCAAAGCCTCAAAAATACACATAACCTTTTAGCTTAGAAACTCCACTTCTAGAACAGTTACCCAAAGACAATTGCCATGGATGTGTGCAAAAACTGAGCTAAGGTGTTCATCACACATTATGACAATAGTAACTGTAAAAGGCAATAATTGTGGTACGGCCATACCATAAAAATACCAGGGAGGGATGAAGGAATATCTAATGACATAAAAACGTGTTTTAAATAAATTGTGGAGAAGGCAAGTTATATAACAATGTGTATAATTTTATCATTATTTCATTTTTTAAAAACATACA